TTTGTTCACAAGTTGAAATCTTTTTTTTTCAAATTTTATCTAACCATTTATTCATTAAAGTTTCGTTCATCCACCTATTTTTTTGTATTTTAATAATGATACCCAAGGAAAACGGACCTCAGGAAAGTCTTTTGCCTTTGAAAATTACCATAAGAGGAGTTTAACTCCATCAGCCAAGATTGCAAGAACACACGTAAACTGGTTTTTTCATTGTCTATAGTTAGGGTTGAGAATTTTTTGTAAGTTTAAAATTTCTTAAACTATAATATATCCTGTGTAGTTGGGTATAAAGGGAATTTTGCAGTGAGTATAATTAGCCACTTACGCGGCCGATTATACTCACTGCAAAATTTTCCTCATATCCAACTACACAGGATATAACTATTATATACAAAGTTTGTTTAACCCTACCTGTAGTTCTTATTTGAACTGTTTTTGCTGAATAGTAATCTACAGTAAGATTGCCAACTATATCAAAGTAAATAGACATTTCATCCATGTTTGCTATACAGGATAACTTATAGTTATTTATATGTTGTAACTTTTTGATAAATTCATAAAACTGATCTAATTGTTTAGATAATTCATGAGGAAGTTTCTGCCTAACTTTAGTATAGCGTTAAAGCACAAGATTATATCAGTTTATAAATCTCTGGTACCAAGAATTTGAAGCTTTGAAAGTTTCTAAAGCATTAGGGTAGTCTTGTTGAAATCTAGTTCTAAAAAGCTCTTTTATTTTAAGCTTTATTGTAGACAATATTACTGCAAGACTATCTTGTTGTAATTGAACAATCCATTTATTTAACGTCTCCTCTGCAAGAGGATATACAGCTTTCTTTTCAGAACTGATACTTCTACATGAATGCATAGCTTCTTCTAACTTTTTTTTTTGTTTTCGTCACCTGGATACTTGAAAATGATCAATACCAAATATTTGTGCTGCTGCTTTATTAGACATTTCTTTTGCTTTTGAAATAATTTCAAGCTTTTGTTTAACTATATAACTTTTACGTTTTGTAGACATATTTTGATCAATCTTCAATATTCACAATTGGCTTTATATAGCTTCTCATGATATCATTGCGTAATCTTAAATATCATGTACTAGTAATCTTAAGGCTTCCTTTTTTTATTTTATTTTTTTTTTATTTTTTTTATTTTTGAATTTAGCTAACTTTAATTCCTGGTTAAATTATAAACTTTTAACTAACCTTAATTTTTGCTTAAATTTAAAATAGAATTTGAATTAGGGTTTGGATTAAAGTTAAGATTAAAATAAGTTTTTTATAGTATTAAATATTTTTTGTTTAGTGTATTAAATATAATTATTTAAGTCATTCTTGAATTATAATAAAAGAGTGGTTATATTAACCAGGAGGCAAGTTAGCAATTATTAAAAGAAATAGTTTAAAATAGCGATTTTAAGTGATTCAGAAGGGTAGTTTTAAAAAAAATTAATGAAGCTTGCTTTTTAGCACTTATAACTTTAAAACAAATATTTTTTTAGAGCGCTCAAACTTTAAGTACCACTTTAACTATTTTATTTTAGTAGATGTCAAGCACCACCCAGACGCCTTTTTTCTATCTCTGGTGACTAGGATTCTGCAAGTGCCAGGCATAGTGATTGGACCCGAGTAGAAATTGTTACTATACGATTACCCGAAATATATAATAACTTACCCAGATAACCTAGGTAAATTAATAATACCCGGGTAAAGATTTTTTCAACAGGTCCAATCTCTAGCCAGGCACGTACTATTCGAAATAGTGTTTAACACTATGTTTAAATAGTACAGTGCAAGAAATTTTAAAATCTCAATTTCCTTATATAGAAATAATACATAAACTAGGTGGATGAACGAAACTTTAATGAATAAATGGTTAGATAAAATTTGAAAAAAAAAGATTTCAACTTGTGAACAAA